ATACATGAAGATGAAGATTTATCTGACTCGTGTAAATTTATATCCAAAGAAAGTGCTGCTAAAATTCATTTGCAGTCAACGCCGGGTGGCGATCGTATCGGACTTCTTACAATCATTGGACTTCTTCATCGCGACGACAAATCCCAAAAGCCGCTGCTGCCTCGATCCTTCCTCAACCATTCAATTCAAGAGTACCCTTTAGGCCTCATTGTTGCACCAATGAAAAGTAGAACACAAAAACCATTTTCAACAACAAATCTAGTTCTCATTGTAGCAGAGGATGAAACTATTGAATCTGAAACTAATGAATCTGCCATTTTTAAACATGGAGAAGCTCTTCTAGTGGATCCTGGATGCTCTGTTCAACAGCACTCTGATCTTGAAGATCTCATTAATGCTCTCCCCAGAAAACTTCTTGTTTTTCTCACCCATCATCACTACGATCACATTGATGGTCTTTCCGTCATCGATAAATGCAACCCCGATGCCATTTTGTTAGCTCATCCGAATACGCTGCGACGAATCAATACTACAAGTTGGTCTCACGAGTCTCTCCCAATTTCCGGCGGCGAGACATTACAGATCGGTAGACAGAAACTAGAAATTGTGTTTGCACCCGGACACACCGACGGCCACGCTGCTCTTCTCCATCTGAATTCAAACTCTCTCATCGTCGGCGATCACTGTGTCGGTCACGGGAGCGCTGTTCTTGACATAACGAGCGGCGGAAATATGAAGGATTATTTTGAAACAACTTATAATTTTTTGGATCTAAAACCAAATGTTTTGATTCCTATGCATGGGAGAGTAAATTTGTGGCCTCAAAATATGCTGTGTGGGTATCTGAAGCATAGAAGGGAGAGAGAATTGAGAATTCTGAAAGCTATTGAAGATGGGGCAGAAACTCTATTTGATATCGTTGCCAAAGTTTATGCAGATGTAAGCAGAAGTTTGTGGCTTGCTGCTTCATCAAATGTCAAGCTTCATGTTGATCATTTGGCTTATCAGAATATGTTGCCAAAGGGTTTTAGTTTGGAGAATTTTAATAATAGCTATGATGATTTTTTAAAAAAGATTTCTAGTTTGTGAGCTTTAGGAATTAGAATTATATTTGGTGTGAGTTGTATTGGATTTGAAAAATAAAGTAAGATTTATATACATACCACTCAATTCTTATGTTTTTACATATA